AATTCAATTCAGTTTATTTATATAGCGCCAAATCACAACAAAGTTGTCTCAGGGCACTTTACAGGAACATTTACATAAAAGCCAATTAGTAAAGTTCTCTATCTAAGGAATCCAGCAGACAAGATGAATCTTGGCTTTGTTGCAGTCTGTCATCCTGAGCAAGCACAGTGGCAACAGTGGAAAGGAAAACTCCCTTTTAAAAGAAAGAAACCTCCAGCAGAACCAGGCTCAGGACAAGCAGCCATCTGCTTTAACCGGCTGGTTGAGAGGACAGGAAGGAGAGACAGACGAACACAGAATGGTAGGTCCAGGTATAGGTCCAGGTATAGGTCCAGGTGTATCTGAAAGACAAAAAAACACATGTTAAGGATAGAAAAAATAATTACAAATACAAAACAGGTTGAGCAGAGTAAGTAAAGACAGTAGCAGAGTGAACAGTGGTCAGTTTGTCCTCCAGCAGTCTAAGCCTATAGCAGCATAACTAAGGGACAGCTCAGGAAACCCAAGCCGACCCTTTATCAAAAAGGAAAGTCTTAAGCCTAGTTTTTAAACTGGATCATGTGTCAGCCTCACGGACAGAGATTGGAAGTTGGTTCCACAAGAGAGGAGCCTGATAACTGAAATATCTGCCTCCCATTCTGTTTTTGTAAATTCTAGGAACCACAAGTAAACCTGCAGCCTGAGAGCAAAGTGCTCTGTTAGGAAAATATGGAACAATAAGATCTGTAATATAAGATGGAGCTAGGTTGTTGAGAGCTTTGTAGGTTAGAAGTAAGATTTTGAATTCTATTCTGGACTTGACAGGGAGCCAATGGAGAGAAGCTAAAACTGGAGAAATATGATCTCTCCTACTAACTCCAGTTAAGATGCTGGCAGCAGCTTTTTGGATCAACTGAAGACGTTTTAAGGAAATATTTGGACACCCAGATAATAAACCATTGCAATAGTCAAGTCTAGACGTGACAAATGCATGGACCAGTTTTTCTGCATCATTTTTAGATGTTTCTAATGTTAGTGATATTACACAGGTGGAAGAAGGCAGTTCTATTAACGTTTTTAATGTGGGAGATAAAAGACATGTCCTGATCAAAAATAACACCAAGATTTTTAACATTAGAGCTGGAGGACAGATTAATGCCATCTAAGGA